AAAAAAAAGATAAAGAATAAAACAATTGGAGCTGGAGAACATCTACTACCAGGGTGGCAAAAATATGTTAAAAGGGTAATAAGAATAAAATCCACCACTTGCCCACCTCCTTCTTTTCAATCTTGCTGTAACATGAAAATCCAATAAGCAGAGTTCTATAGAGCCGACAAAATTAAACAGTAACTTTGGGGAAGGAATAATCATAAAATGAATGGAGAAGGAAACACAGATGTTCTTATTAAAATACAAAGAATATAAACAGAATTAATGATGTACAAAAGCACAGCTGCTGGGTTCCCACATCTGTGTTTGAGGAGTTTCGTTCTGCTCCTACTAGCAGAATCTAAGAAAATGACCGTTCTCTGAGACGGTCATTATTCTTACACGTCACACATCTTGGAACTCCTTTTTGGGCCAAGTCCTCACCGAAAAAGCCAATGGCATATAGTTTCTACGTCGTGCCAGTTTCTTGCGATCTCGTTCAACCTTTTCTTTCTGAGCAAGCTGTTGGTAATATTCAATCAATTTGTTCATCTGTAAGAAATCAAAGTCTATGATTTATGAAAAAACCAAAATCAACTACACAAACTAGAAATAAAGTGAAAAAAGGAAAAGTTACTAAGTTATTAAATTAAAAATTTGTCCTTTCCTTTAAAGAGAATTTGTTTTTCATTATACAGTGCTTTCAGAATTCAAATGAAACCTTTAGATTCAACAACAGGAAGAAATGGGCTAGGAAAAGATTTCAAAATTAGACACTCTTGGGAGCTAGAGAGATGGTTCAGTGGTTAAGAGTGCTCTCACAAAGGACCCGAGTTCAGATTCCAGCACCCATGTCAGATGGCTCACAACATTGTCTTCTGACCTCCAAAGGCACCAGCACTCAGGTGCCGATACCCTACACAGAAACACATAACTGAAAAATAATAACAAATATATATATTTAAAACTACATGATCTACTTCATTATTTTTCCTGCAGTGTCACAGAGCCATTTATTTCTAAGAATGACATTTCATGCTCTATTTTTCTCCCTGTCACTTTAAAGAAAGCACTATGTTAATTATAGAAACTTTAAATGACCAAACATAAAGAATACATCTCCTCTTTATGCTTTGTCCTAAAGCTGCCCTTTCTATTTATTCATAGGTGTCCACTATTGGCAGTCATGCATCTTCCTTACACACTTTACAAACATGCATGCTTAGAAACAGACATATATCTGCACCCATGTACAGATATATAACTTGAAAATAAATGCTTGTCCTTTTATTTTTTTTTCACATAAAAGGGAACAAAGTTTCTGTTCCTTTTCCATTCTAAGTTTCATGGAAACTGGACCAAACCTATCAGATCCCCCTGTCTGGTCAGTACAAACACATCTACCTTGTTCTTTTCAAAGGCTGTACTTTACTTCATAGAACAGATGTCCTATAAGGTATTTAACCATTTCCTACAATAGGACATAAATAGCCTTCTGGTGGGACTCTTGTCCTTCTAACTCAGTAGTAACTGTTTTCTAGTAACAGTAATTTGATCCTGTCTCTTCTTGTTTGAAACATTTAAAGGCTTCTCAAACTTCTTGGCCTATATGTCTTTAAAGGTTAACCCTCAAGTCCCTTTTTCTGCTTGTCTATACCACGCTCCACTTCATCACATGCACTCTTTTACCTACTACATGTCTTATTTCCTCCACCTATAAGCTCTTTGCATACAATGTTCCTCTGCATAAACTCTTTCTCCTCTGTGCCTGTCATCTCAGACTGCACATAATCCTCAGATGTCTTCCGCATTAGTTAAAAGAATAAGGGGCTGGAGAGATGGCTTTTTCAAGAAATGTTCACAAGTGACCTGAAGAGATGGCTCAGTTAAGAGCACTGGCTGCTCTTGCAGAAGACCCAGGTTTGATTCCCAGAACCCACATGGTGACTAACGACTATCCATAACTCCAGTTCCAGGGGATTTGAGAACCTCTCTGTCCCTATCGGCACTGTACAACATGGGTGCACTTACATATATGCAGGTATAACACTCATACACATAAAAATAAGTTAAAAAGCCGGGCGAGGTGGCGCACGCCTTTAATCCCAGGACTTGGGAGGCAGAGGCAGGCAGATCTTTGTGAGTTCAAGGCCAGCCTGGTCTACATAGTGAGTTCCAGGACAGCTGGGGCTACAGGGAGACCCTGTCTTAAAAAAGACAAAAAAAAAAACAAACAAAAATTCTACATGTAAGAGCTGGGCATGATGACATGATTAATCCCAGCACTCAGGAGGTAGAGGCAGGCAGATCTCTGAGATTGAAGTCAGCCTGGTCAACATATTGAGTTCTAGGACAGTTGTCTCAAAGAGATTTTTTTAAAAAGTGTATTTCTAAGAATTAAAAACATTTTTTAATGAATTTATTTTTATGTTATGTATATGAGTGTTTTCCTTGCATGTAAGTACACCCATACATGTAATGCCCACGGAGACCAGAAGAGGGCATTGGAACGCCTGGAACTGGAGTTACAGACAGCTGTTAGCCATCATGTGAGTGCAGGGAACTGAGCCCAGCTCCTTGTAAGAGCAGCCAGTGTTCTTAAACACTGAGCCATCCCTCCAGCTCCTCCAAGGATTTTTGGTAATAAAAATTCATTCAAAAATTTATTCATTGTCAGGTATGTGAAGAAAAAGAAAAACCATTTTCATTCCCTTTTCTGACATACAACTTGAAAACAGAACTAAAACGACACCAAGGTTTTCCCAGTAAGTGAAGCCGACAAATAAGAACTGACACTGATTAAACACCCTTCTGCCTGTAACTGCTACAATACAGACACATCAGGCATTTCCAGGCAGGGGTCACATCCACTACTGTTTCATCCTGTGTCTTATGTTCTTTTACTTACCCGCTGTGTGTGAGGATTTTCTGGTTCTTGCCAACCACCACTAGCTAGAAAATAAACATTAAACAATAATTTTACCTTTTTTTATTTTCATAAAAATGTCATCTGTAGGCCTAAAAATTTTAAAACACAAAATCACAGAATTTCCAAGAAAGAACATTGGAAACCTTATAGATCAGCATGCTCAAAATAACAGTTTCTTTCTTTTTGTTTTTTTCAGTACTAAGGATTGAACCTAGAGTTTTGCCCATGTAGTCAAGTACTCTACCACTGAGCTATATCCCAACCTCTTTAAAATACAAATTCAAAAAAATTTTTTACTTACTCTGTATTTGTGTGTATGTATGTGTATGTGTGTATGTCCTCCTGTGGAGGACGGAACAACTTCTGGAAATGGTTCTCTCTTTCCACCATTGGGTCCAGGGATGGAACTCAGGTGTCCAAGTTTGCATAGCAAGAGCTTTTACCCACTGAGTCATCTCATCTGCCCCTTTAAAAAATTTTTTGAGATAGTTGCTAAGTGGCCTAGGTGGGTCTTGCTGTATATCCCAGGCAGACCTTGAATTAGTAATCCTCCTGCTTCAGCCTCCTGAGTAGCTGAGATTATAACCTTACACCATCAAGCCCAACATAATATTGATCCTTTAAACAGAATAAGAGTGTTGATGACCACCGCTACCAACAACGTGCACAAAGTTTCTGTGCCAGATGACTGAAATGTATTACATGTTCTTCTATTTTTAAAATAACTTTCTTTTCTATTATTTACTTATTTATTTGGTCTTTTTGAGACAGGGTCCCCCTGTAGCCCCAGCAAGGCCATAACTCACCATGAAGACCAGGTGGGCCTTGATCTCAGAGATCTTGCTTGCCTCTGCCTCCCAAGTGCTGGGATTAAAGGCATATGCTACCTCTACAAAGCACATGATAATTAAAGTATCAGACTGGGAGAACTAACCTTACTGGATGTATTAACAGCCATACTTTAAGGCCTATACAAATGTGGTCAGAGGGGCTTAAAGGACAGTTTTTGCCCCTTGCCCTCCAAGGTTGACCAAGTTCCAGGGGACTATGGAACATCTCTCAAAATGTCCTGTAACTGTGGTGTATCACCTGTCCTCTTGTACAGGGAGGCCATGGAGACCCCATGAGATGGTCTTGAACCAGTGTCCAGTCTACAAAAAGGAGGGTCAACTTAGAGAAACATATCATTCATGCTTCCAAGTGAAGCCAGACATGGTCGAACAGGACATAAATTACCAGATGGGCATTGATAACTTTAAGTAAAAGCTTAAGCATCCTTTTGGCACCAACTAACAGACTAAACGTCCTGTTTCTTTGTGCCCTAAATCTTTGTATGTGACTGCCATATCCCACGTGACTGCTAGTTCTTTGGGATGTATAAAAACCATCTGAATCAAATAATAAATAGCTTGTTGAAAAGACACAGGTCCCAGGGTCCAAGACTCTGTTGTCGATCAAGTCTCTCTGCCCCAAAGCCAGTATGTCCCCTGCTAAGCAATGCAAACCCAAGTCCCAACAATTCATGATTTTGTTCTGAATCAGAAAGTGCTGCTCAGATGTAAGACTCCAAATATTGGTCTGCAATACTGTAGTGCCCACCTGTAGCTAAGGGAGACAACAAGCTATTGTTCTGAAATGATGGATAAATTTGTTTTTCTCCCTAATTACTCTTGCCTTTACTTCTTCTTCACGTCTCCTATTCATGGTTCAAAGACTTTCTTTTCCCCTTAGAGATAAGAGTTTTGCAATTTGAGAGTCTTTTAGATAGACCCACTGAAGGGGTACTCCAGTTGCCTCATCCTGGGTCCCTGTTCAGCATGGTTCAGGACCAAGAAGCCAGAGCGGTCAGCATCCCTATTCCCTATTGGCAATTTGGGTAACCCCTGCAGAGGATGGCATGATAAGAATAGGAGGTAGGAACTGGCTAGGCAGTTAGGGTAAAAAGACCCCAAAGAAAAGTAGCCAATTTCTTGGCTAAAAGTCAAAATGTCCTTGGGCCTCTTAGCAACATACTGTGTTCCAAAGACCAAAAATGTTAAAAGTATTTGGGAGCTTGTATGTAATCCTTAAAAGATTTTAGGGTTACCTCTACTGAGGGGGGAATGTTAAAGTACCCAAAAGCCCCATAAAAATAAATGAAAGAAGAAAAAAAAGAAAAAGAAAAAAGTGATGGAGTGGGCACGGATTTGATCAAAACACCTTGTATGCGTGTATGAAATTCTCAATAAAGTTTTTGTAAAAGTGAAAAAAAAAAAAAAGAGACGGCAAAAAAATAATAAATTAAAAAAAAAAAGGCATATGCTACCACTCCTGGCCCAACTTATTTATTTTTATTTTGTGTATGAGTGTTTTGCCTGTATGTATATAAGTGTACTAGGTGCATGCAACACCTGCATAGGCCATCAGAAGAGGGCATCTGATTCATTGGAACTGGAATTACAGATGTTGTGAGCTGCCATGTGGGACCTGAACCTGGGTCCTCTGTAAGAACAACCAGTGCTCTTAACTGCTGAGCCATCTCTCTAGCGCCTCATAATAACTTTCTGAGGTAAGGTACTCTTCTTGGTCCCATTTCATGGATGACAAAACTGAGGCTATTACATAACTTCCCAAAGTTGCATGGATACTCAGTGGTAGAGCCAGGACTCAAACTCAGGCAAGCAGGCTGACTCCAGAAACCCTGCTCTTATCTACAACATGATGCAAACACTGAGCAAATGATGCTGTACAATTGGACATACACATGCAGAAAAACGGAAACAAACCTCAAAGCCTTAGCCCTCGAAAATGCAGAAGAACAAAGAAATCTTAGAGACAGTCAATGACCTTCAATTTGAGGGTTGGAAGCATTATTTTCAGAAGTACAGGGTAAATCTTGGCAAAACTGATTAGGTTGAAGTTTCTTTAATAAGAAACAAAAAGCACAAACTATAACACACATGGGGGGAGGAGGAAGAGGGAGAGTAAGGGAGAGTGCTAAAAAACAAAACAAAAACAAAAAAACAGGCCAAATTCAGTTACCACATGTTATAATTACAGTACTTAAGAGGTGGAGACCAAATGACCAGGAAAGACAAGTCCCAGCCTGTCTCAAAAAAAGGACAAAAAGCCAGGTGTGGTGATGCACGCCTTTAATCCCAGCACTGGGAAGCAGAGGTAGGTGGATCTCTGTGAGTTCAAGGCTAGCTAGCTCTATATAGTTGTTTTCAGGCCAGCAAGGGCTACAAACTGACTCCTTGACTCAAAAAAGAAAAAAAAAAAAAAAAAAAAAAAAAGGGAGGCTCAGGGTCTCAGCCAGGAGGTCATCAGGAAGGTCTATCCTGTGCACCATCACAAATAAATCCTGTTCCTTGCTTGGTAGAGGGCCAGTCTTGCTTTCAATTCATTCTTGTGATTTTGAAATGTGCCAGGGGAGGGAAGGGCTGGGATGCAGGGACCTGAGCCTATGGTCACAGCCAGAGGCCACAGTGGCCCAAAATGGGCCCTCCTGAGTCCATCCTGCAGTTCCATGGGTGCTGGAGTCAGATGTCAAGTGTGTTGTGTAAACAATTGGCTGTTTAAAAAAAGGACAAAAGATCTGTAGATACTTCACTGAAGATGCCATATGGGTGACAGACAAAAAACACAAACTAGCCAGACTTGGTGGTTCATGTTCAGGAGGCTGAAACAGGACAACTGTCATGATTTGTGACCAGCCTGGGATACACAGTGGGTTCCAGACAAGCCTGGGCTACGGTGTGAGACAGTCTCAAAAACAAAACAAGGGGCTGGAGACATGGCTCAACGAACATTGCTGTTCGTTCTTCCAGAGGACCCAGGTTCGATTCCTAGAACCCTTGTGGCAGCGAACAACTGTAACTCCAGTTCCAGGGGATCCAATACCTTCTGGCCTCTGCAGGCATTGAACACATGTGGTGCACTTACATACATGCAGGCAAAACACTCCTACACATAAAATAAAAATAAAATACTTAAAAACAAAACAAAACACAAATTGAAATCATCATGAAGTAGTTTACAGAAGCAAAGAATGGCTGAAATAAAACCGACAATAGCAAGTTGTGTCAAGGATTAGACTACTTTGCTAGTTAGAATTTTAAAATGCACAGCCATTTTGGAAAATGATTTCCAGTTAAGTCAAACATTTACCCTATGACCAGCAATTCCATTCCTAGGTATTTACTCAAAACAAAACTATCTCATCTACATGAAGACCCATAAGCAAAGGTTCGTAGATGCTCATTTAAGCCCCAAAGCAAAAATTTCCAACACATTCATCAACTCGAGAATGAATAAACAAATTGGTGTATCTATACAACAGAACCATTGTAAAAGGCATGGATGTACAAGAAGCAAGATACAGAGAACAATGTACAGGAAGATTCCAATTCTATAAATGTCTAGAAATCACAAAACTATAGTGACAGAAAGCAAGGCAGGACAGTCAGGAGCCAAGGGTGGTGGTTACATGTCAAACTTCTAGAATTCTACACTTAAAATTGGCGAGCACATTTTATCTCAAAACTGAACAAATAAAAGCAAAAAATAGAACGAAAGGTCATTTCATACTATCAGTTTGTTAAAACTTTATTTTTATTTTATTTTATTTGGCATTCCTATGTGTGATGTGCATGTTCATGTACGTGGGTTCACACGTGTGTGGGTGTATATGAAGGTCAGAGTTTGCCATTGTGCATCTTCCTAATCACGCTCTACCATCTATTAGCATACTGATGTAGACACTCTCACTTGAACCAAAAGCTTGCCGATTCGGCTAGTCTAGCTAAGCAGCTTGCCTGGGGACCCCTATCTGCTCTTCCCAAGCACTGGGACTAGAGGTGGGCTGTGACACCCACCCAGCAAAGTGGCAGGCAGTGAAAAGGAAAAGGGATGTAGTACGGAGTAAGCTGCACCAGGGCCCCAACTATTTAGGTTATGCTTCATTTCCTAAGATGGGTAACAAGTGCATAAATATAGAGAATTTATGTAATCTCACAGTCTGAACCTAAATCATCTCCCAAAGATTCATGAGTAAAGATTTAGTCACCAGCTGGCAGGTTTTGTTTTTTTTCTTCTTTTTGAGACAGGGTCTCTCTGTAACCTCAGCTGGCCTGGAACTCACTATGGAAAAAACAGGCTGGCTGGATCTCAGAGAAAGTTCCCTGTCTCTGCCTCTGCCTTTGGAGGGCTGGGATTAACTGTAGGCCAGGCTGGTCTGGAATTCATAGCAATTCTCTTGCTTCAGCTTCCCCTCTGCTGGGATTAGAGGCATGAACCACCATGTTTGGCCCTCTAATTGCTTCTAAATAGCAATAAAAGACCGATGTAATCATTCTAAGTTTTTCTCTATATAATAGGGACAAGACCTTATAAATAAACAGTTCAAACTAAAATTTCAAGGCTTCTTGGATACCAATGACATCATGGAGAAAATAAAATTATCTGTACTCTTATTTTTAAAAAAATATTTTATTATTTTTCTTTTATATGCTTGAGTATATTGCCTGCATGTATATAAGCGTACCCTTGTTCTGCAATGCCTCCAGAAGTCAGAAGAGGGTACTGGATCTCCTGGAACTGAAATTAGGATGGTTACTAGACACCATGAGGGTGCTGGGAACAGAACCCAGGTCCTATGCAAGAGCAGCAGTGCTCTTAACCACTGAGCCAGTTCTCCAGCCCATCTGTACTCTTTTTAAGAGCTCCTGCTATTCAATTATCACTATCAAATACCCTACAGAAGATAGGTTTTTAGAAGCCATCAAGGGATTTTATGTTCAAATGATAAATTCTCCAATCTCTTTTTTTTCTTTGGAGACAGGGTCTCCCTGGAGTGCCAGCTGGCCTTGAACTCACAAAGATCCACCTGCTTCTGCCTTGAGTGCTTGGATTAAAGGAGAGCACCATTAAGCCAGATACAATCAGATTTTCAAAATATTTGTTATGGGCTGGAGAGATGGCTCAACAGTAAAGGCACTGGCTGCTCTTATAGAGGACTCAGCACCCATATAGTGGCTAACAACTATCCCTAACTTCAGTTCCAGGAGATATGGATGCCCTCTTCTGGCCTCTGACAGCATGTGGGTGCTGGGAACCAAACCTAAGTTCTCTGGAAGAGCAGAAAGTGCTCTTAACCACCAAGTTGTCTCTCTAGCCCCAACCCCTCCACATTTTTTTTTTAAAGATGGGATCTCACCATGTAATTCTGGCTGGTCTGGAACTCACTATACAGCCCAGGCCAAGTCACAGAGAACCACCTGCCTCTGCCTTACAAGTGCTGGGATTATAGGTGTGAGCTAACATACCTGGTTTATACAGTGTTGAGGATTGAATTCAGGGATTCATGAATGCTAGGTAAACACTCTGTCAATATCCCCCAGTCCATGAAGTTTCTTTTAGAGTATTAATAGTTTGAATCTAGGAAAGTATCAGATTCATAAAAGCTCTTTTTACTAACTCTAAGAAAACTAAATAGTATTACTCTATCTAAGATGAAAAACTATAGTCCATAAATATGATACAGAACATTTAATGACAACCATTCTGAATTTAGCTTTTAATGCCTAACACATAAAACTGACTCTGTGGGCAATTACAGCTCTGACAGTAGCACAAAAATCTCACATTCAAGTTCACCTTACTTACCTACAGATTTGTCTGCCATGCCCACATCCCTCGATGTCCAGCGACAAAATCCACAAGCCAAGTAATAGGCTTTCTTCATGGTGGTTTTGGCTGGGTCATCTGGAAGCTGTGTGGAGATGTTTGTTGCCCGAGTGGAAAGAGTGTGCATGCATCCAGGACAGTCAAAACAGTTGGCACATCTGTGACATGACAAACAGAACCATTCATTCATTCAGCAAGTATTTATCAAGCACTACTATGTGCCAGACATTGGTTTAGTCGTGAATCTTTTAAACTTTTTCCACTTGTGATGGTTTTTCACCCAAGCAATTATTTTTTAAATATCTTATTTATGGGCCAGGCGTGGGGGTGCACGCCTTTAATCCCAGCACTTGAGAGGCAGAGGCAGGTGGACCTCCATGAGTTCAAGGTCAGCCTGGTCTACATAGAGAGTTCCAGGCCAGCTGGGGATACAGGGAGACCCAGTCTCAAAAAGACCAGAAAATAAATAAATAAATAAATAAATAAATAAATAAACAAACTTTAATGTGTATGAGTGTACTGCCTGCACATTGTGTCAAGAAATTTTTACATAACCTCTGATATACAGGTTTGTAAAACAAGTATACAAATAAACACTTATTAGGGGCTGAAGAGATGACTCGGCAGTTAAGAGCATTGGCTGCTCTTAGCAGAGGACCCAAGTTTGGTTTCCAGGATCCACAGAACAGCTAACAATCATAGGTAACTCCCATCCAAGGGTATGGCATACCCTCTGCTGGCCTCCATGGATACTGCATGCACATGGTACACTTACATGCAGGCAAAACATTCATACACAAAATAAAAAAATAATAATTTGCTAATAGATCAAGAAATTTATTTCAAAAAATTATTGGGATACATATAAATTTACCATTTACAAAAACAAATTTGTATACTAAGGAGATAAATGTGCTTTTTTAAAAAAAAATTATTTTGAGCTGGGCATGGTGGCGCACACCTTTAGTCCCAGCACCTGGGAGGTAGAGGCAGGTGGATCTTTGTGAGTTCAAGGCCAGCCTGGTCTACATAGTGAGTTCCAGGACAACTGGGGCTACAGGGGGACCCTGTCTCAAAAGTACCTTCAAGTATGTAAGCGCACCAGTTGTCATGCACCCAAAGAGAACAGAAGAGAGCATCGGATCCCCTGGAACTAGAGTTATGGATGGCTGTTAGACACCATGTGTTTGGATTTGAACCCACGTCTTCTGCAAAAGCAGCCCGTGTTCTTAACTGTTGAGCCATCTCTCCAGCATGGTGCTTATTATTTTTTGTAAAGAATTAAATCGTTTCCTATCCTGTTCCCATTCATGAGAAATACAGAAAATTTCTATGTATGCCCTTTGTCAAATTGAGGAAATCTCTTTTATTCCTAGTTTATTAATTATCCTCTTCTATTCCAAGTAATTTTTTCCTGGAGTGTTTTGATTTCATTAAAAGTGTTTTTTGGCATCTACTGAGAAAAGGAATATAGTTTTTTACTTTTGGCTTGTTAATATGGTGCATTGTATTGATTTAAAAAATTTAATTGTGATAAAAAGCATAGAGAAGATCTGCCATCCTAGCCGTTTTATACAGTTCAGCAGTTTTAAGTGTATTCACACTGTTGAGCAGCACATCTCTTGAACTTGTACTGAGTTTGAATGTTAAACCCACTCTACATTCTTTGGAAAAACTCCACTTGGCCCTGATGTATTATCTTTTTAATATATTGGAGTTTATTTGTAAATTTTTGATATGGGTTCGATTTGCTATAATTCTTATTTTAAAATTCTTATTTTGCATCTGTGTTTGGAAGATACTGATTTGTGGTTTTCTGGTAATGTTATTAACTGTTTTCAGCATCAGTATTGCTGGCACCAATGAGTTGGGGAGCATTTCTCTTTGACTTTCAGAGTTTCTGAAGGAGCAGTATTATTTCTTTCTTTAATGTTTTATACAATTCAGCAGTGAAGAAACTAAAATTTTTCTTTGTGGAAAAGTTTTAAATTACAAATTTTATTCCACCAATAGATACAGAGATACTAAAAGTATCTTTAGTTTAAATTGAGCTTTGATAGTTTGAATCTTTTAAGGAATTGGTTCATTTTGGTTATCTAACTCACAGTTACAATTTTGCTCTTAATATTCAATTTTTTAAAAAACATTTGGAGACTTATGGTAATGTCACTTATCTCATTCCAGATCTCATAATTAGTATCTTTATTTTTTTTTCCTGACTAATCCACCTAGAGATTGGTCAATAATACTGATTGTAGGGACTCAGTTCTTAGTTTCACAGCTTCTTTCTATTGTACTGGTTTCTATTTATTAATTTTTTAATTTTAATAAGGTTGTTTTATTTTTATCTATATTTATTTAAATAGTTCCATAATGTTCAACAGTTATATTCTTCCCAATATGTAATACAAATCATGCTGCAATGAACATCAGTTTGCCAATATCATTGTATATATCTCTATTATCCTATGATGAGTTCCTACAAATTAATACTTTGTAGTATCATTTCTTTTAGATGTTTATACACTGTATAACTTAATTGTAAAATCCTCTGAGGGAGGAAGTTATTACTTCCACACATCACTAACAATTCTATCATATTTATACAATAAATATACATTTATTATAGGGACAAAAAAATAAAATAAAATAAAAGGCCTTGGGTGCTTCATTAATGAGGAAAAAAAAAAAAGATTTAAATCGTCCCTAAATATCTGATACTACAGGATAGAGCATCTTCACTGTTTTTCAGAGTTGACCAACACTTTGATTTTGTAATCATCAATGTTTTATATAAATTAATATAGCACAAAATACCAGAATTATATTTAGGGCCATTTTAGAAATTGCTGAAAATTCTGTCCTAATCCCAACACAGAATTCATTTTATGATGTTTTTATTCTTGGTGTTTGGTATGTGCTTTTTTAAAATTTTAGCATGCAAAGTAACTGGTTTTCTTATGGCATTTGTATACCAACTTGGTTTCTGTTGACCCTCCCCTAACCCCATTAAATAATTTTAAAAAATAAAACTCAGGCCGTGCGTGGTGGTGCATGCCTTTAATCCCAGCACTTGGGAGACAGGGGCAGGCGGATCTCTGTGAGTTCAAGGCCAGCCTGGTTTACATAGTGAGTTCCAGGACAGCTGGGGCTACAGGGAGACCCTGTCTCAAAAAGACCAAAAAAACAAAAACAAAAACAAAAAAACCTCAGGGCTGGAGAGATGGCTCAGTGGTTAAGAACACTGGTTGTTCTTGCAGAAGACCCAGGTTTGAATCCCAGCATCCACATGGCAGCTAAGAACTGTCTGTAACTCCAGTTCCAGGGGATCTGACCAGCCCGTTCTGACCTCTGGGGACACTGCACGACATGGGTGCACTTACCTACATGCAGGCAATACATGCATAAAACAAAAACAAAAAACCTCAGGGCTGGAGAGATGGCTCAGTGGTTAAGAACACTGGTTGTTCTTGCAGAAGACCCAGGTTTGAATCCCAGCATCCACATGGCAGCTAAGAACTGTCTGTAACTCCAGTTTCCAGTTCCACTGATGCCCTCTTCTGCTCTCTGTAGGCATTGCATGACACCTACCTACATGCAGGTAATCCACCCATATACATAAAATTTAAAAATAATAAAATATAAAAAAGCAACAAGCCATAGAAACTGTCACTTAATAATTGTTCATACCAAGTTAGAATTTCTTTTCCTGTCCATAAGTGATGCTGTCTCCATTAACAACAGCCTTGTTAGGCGTGGTGTAATCTCAGAACTTGGGAGGCTGAGGCAGGAAGAGTTTGAGGCCAGTCTGACCTACCATTGCAAGACCTTGTTGCAAAAACAAACAAGCACTTGCAGTTGAACCACCTCCCAAATACTTATATTTATACTTACAGACTGGTATGACTCTCGGTCTTAGACACACCTCTTTTAGCAGTGGGCAATGGTCAAAGTAGAGATTCATAAATTATCAATGTGCTGAGAAGAAGGGACTGCTGAGTACTCAGCCTTAAATAAGACTTCTGTTCAACCCACCCTGCAACCCAGAGAACATCGAAGAAGTGGTGGAGAGACTGTAAGAGCAAGTGATGGGAAGTACTATGAAGTGCCATCCTCTGGATGTGATGCGACTGTTGTAATCACGAACATACAGCAGCTGTGATTACCTGTGCACACAAAAAGAGATAGACTTGAGGGTAGGAGGAAGACTGGGAAAAAGAAGAGGCACAACAGGCATAGCAGGGGGATAAGAGATGGTAGCAGGGCAGAGGATATGCTCACAGTACACCGTATACAAGAAAGAACGATCAGAAATTGAAAATGAGGGGGCTAGAGAGATGGCTCAGCATTTAGGAACACTGGCTGCTCTTGCAGAGGACCTGAGTTCGATTCCCAGCATTGACATGGCAGCTAACAACTGTCTTAACTCCAGTTCTAGGGGATCCGACATCCTCTTCTGACTTCTACAGGCATTGCACGACATGGGTGCACTTAATACGTGTGAGCAAAACACTCATATGCATAAAATAAAAATAACAAAATATAAAAAAAATGAAAAGGCAAGTAAAAATTTTCTTTAAGCAATGGAGATTAACATTGCTTACTCCTCTCTCAATGTATATAATCTTATTGCTAAAGAGGTAATGAAAACCACGGAAAGCCAGGCACGGTTGCACATCCCAGCTACTTGGGAGGCTTAGGGAGGAGTATCAGAAGTGCAAGGTCTAGCTTAGACTGCATAAATTCAATGCCAGCCTCAGAAACTTAGCAAGATCCTGTCTCAAAAAGCTTTTTAAAGAAAAAGTAGGTCACTTGCCTTCCAAGCACAAGGCCCTCAGTGTGTGTGTGTGTGTGTGTGTGTGTGTGTGTGTGTGTGT